GGGGAAACACACAGGAAGGGGCGGAGAGATGTGAGAGGGGCGGGGAGATGTGAGAGGGGTGGGGAAACACACAGGAAGGGGCAGAGAGATGTGAGAAGGGTGGGGAAACACACAGGAAGGGGCAGAGAGATGTGAGAGGGGTGGGGAAACACAGGGAGGCGGAGGAATGCGGGAATGGGTGGAGAAACACACGGAGGTGCGAGAGGGGCGGGGAAACACACAGGAAGGGGTATAGATGCAAGAGGGGCGGGGAAACACACAGGAAGGGGTATAGATGCGAGAGGGGCGGGGAAACACACAGGAAGGGGCGGGCAGAGTGACTTTACCGGAGCACCGCGTCTGCTGCAGGATAAGGGTGTGCTCCCTCTGGATGAAGTGCAGCTCTCTCGCCACATGGCACGCTGTCAGGGGGTTATCACCTGTGATCATCACCACCTGCGAGAGAGGGGGCGAGCGTGAGAGCGGGGCCGGGTCCAGAGAGAGCGCAGACTGGCGGGAGCGAGCGCCTGCGTACTGACGTGATGAGAGGCGTTCTGAATCTCTCGGATCACAGCCTTGGAATCGCTCTTCAGGGGGCAGGAAACGACCATGAAGCCCACGAACTGCAGGGAGCACTCCAAGGTCTCCCGCATCACCTCACGCACCTGCCAAAACACAACACAGTCCTATAACAACGCCCAGGTCCTCCCCACACACAGAGACAACACAATGGAGAAGGGCTGGAGGTAGCCGGCTGTGGGCAGAATTTAAAGAGAATATGAACACCAAGTAAAGCACAAGTAAGGAATGAGTTTGTGCAGGGTGTAGTACCTGTTGGTGGGTGAGGTGCCCCATCTCCTTGTAGCCCAGTGCCAGAACACGTGCCCCCTCCCTCGACATTTCCCTGTGGACCTCGTCATAGCTGTCTGGGCACTGAGAGAACTGCAACCACACACAGTAGGAGAGTGTCTCAGGTATTACAATGTACCATGCTGTGCAGTGTCTGTGCTCCACAGTGCACACGACAGTGTCTCAGAAGTTACCGTACCATGCTGCGCAGTGTCTCTGGTGCCCCTTTCACAGTGGAGACGTAGCAGAGTTCACTGGAGCCCTGTCGCTCATACGAGGCCAAAACAGACATCCTCTTCAGAGC